CCTTGACGATAATAGACACTTGCAATATTGTTATATGTTATAGCAATACTTGGATGATTGTCGCCAAGTTGTATTTGTCGAATGTTGAGTGATTTGTTATACATTGATAGAGCGTCGTCGTACTTGCCTTGATGATTATAAACACGACCAATGTTGTCATATGTTGTAGCAATACTTGGATGATTGTCGCCAAGTTGTATTAGATTAATCTTGAGTGACTTGTTATACATTGATAGAGCGTCATCATACTTGCCTTGATCATTATAGACACGACCAATGTTGTCATATGTTGTAGCAACACTTGGATGATTGTCTTCAAGTTGTGTTAGATTAATCTTGAGTGACTTGTTATACATTGATAGAGCGTCATCATACTTGCCTTGATGATTATAGACACTTGCAATGTTGTTATATGTTGTAGCAATACTTGGATGATTGTCGCCAAGTTGTGTTATATTAATCTTGAGTGACTTGTTATACATTAATAGAGCGTCATCATACTTGCCTTGATCATTATAGACACGACCAATGTTGTCATATGTTGTAGCAACACTTAGATGATTGTCGCCAAGTTGTGTTTGTCGAATATTGAGTGATTTGTTATACATTGACAGAGCGTCATCATACTTGCCTTGATGATTATAGACACTTGCAATGTTGTTATATGTATTAGCAATACTTGGATGATTGTCGCCAAGTTGTGTTAGTGCAATCTTGAGTGACTTGTTATACATTGATAGAGCGTCATCATACTTGCCTTGACGATCATAGACACTTGCAATGTTGTTATACGTTGTAGCAATACTTGGATGATTGTCGCCAAGTTGTGTTTGTCGAATATTGAGTGATTTGTTATACATTGATAGAGCGTCATCATACTTTCCTAGGTCTTGATAGACTTGTCCAATGTTGTTATATGTTGTAGCAATACTTGGATGATTGTCGCCAAGTTGTGTTAGGTCAATCTTGAGTGATTTGTTATACATAGATAGAGCGTCATCATACTTGCCTTGATCATTATAGACACGACCAATGTTGTTATATGTTGTAGCAATACTTGGATGATTGTCGCCAAGTTGTGTTAGATTAATTTTGAGTGATTTGTTATACATTGATAGAGCGTCATCATACTTGCCTTGATCATTATAGACACGACCAACATTGTTATATGTTGTAGCAATACTTGGATGATTGTCGCCAAGTTGTGTTAGATTAATCTTGAGTGATTTATTATACATTGACAGAGCGTCATCATACCTGCCTTGATGATTATAGATACTTGCAATGTTGTCATATGTTGTAGCAATACTTGGATGATTGTCGCCAAGTTGTGTTAGATTAATGATAAGTGATTTGTTATACATTGACAGAGCGTCATTATATTTGCCTTGATCATTACAGACACGACCAATGTTGTTATATGTTGTAGCAATACTTGGATGATTGTCGCCAAGTTGTGTTAGGTTAATGTTGAGTGATTTGTTATACATTGACAGAGCGTCATCATACTTGCCTTGACGATTATAAACACGACCAATATTGTTATATGTTGTAGCAATACTTGGATGATTGTCGCCAAGTTGTGTTAGATTAATCTTGAGTGATTTGTTATACATTGATAGAGCGTCATCATACTTGCCTTGACGATAATAGACACTTGCAATATTGTTATATGTTATAGCAATACTTGGATGATTGTCGCCAAGTTGTATTTGTCGAATGTTGAGTGATTTGTTATACATTGATAGAGCGTCGTCGTACTTGCCTTGATGATTATAAACACGACCAATGTTGTCATATGTTGTAGCAATACTTGGATGATTGTCGCCAAGTTGTATTAGATTAATCTTGAGTGACTTGTTATACATTGATAGAGCGTCATCATACTTGCCTTGATCATTATAGACACGACCAATGTTGTCATATGTTGTAGCAACACTTGGATGATTGTCTTCAAGTTGTGTTAGATTAATCTTGAGTGACTTGTTATACATTGATAGAGCGTCATCATACTTGCCTTGATGATTATAGACACTTGCAATGTTGTTATATGTTGTAGCAATACTTGGATGATTGTCGCCAAGTTTTGTTATATTAATCTTGAGCGACTTGTTATACATTAATAGAGCGTCATCATACTTGCCTTGATCATTATAGACACG